TCAGGCTGGAGAAAAAGAGGAAAAAGGAGAAAAGAAATAAGCCATCCTTATCCAATTTCTACTCTTTTAAGCCCCTGAACTTTGGATATTTTGGCTCTTAAGCCCAAAACAATATTTTTCCACAATTTAGTCCCTAACTCACTTATTTTGGGGTATCACATCCACCCCTCCTAAAAAGGAGTTTTGTCCCCAAAACTCAAATTGGGGATCATTTCGAGTGGTGAATGGCTTCACACAATTCGAGACAAAACAAATGCCCCACCGACTTTCTATGAACAAAACACGACCTATTATGCTTCCGCTACGCCACTCTGATATCAAACCACAACTAATCTTAGAAAGCAGAACACTAACTACTTAACAGGGTTTACCATGAAATGAGCTACTAGAGGCTAGGGTGATATGGGAAGCACAACGAATAAAAATAAATCCTGCCAAAGCCACAAAAGAACAATTGTGGGGTTACGCTATGAACCCAACACAAGACGAGTTGGTAAAGAATGGCATGGATTTAAAGACAATTACAACAAAATTTCAATTCTATCAAAGACGGATAAGCATCCAATGGATATATGGATCATAAATGAATGAACGAGTGCATGGATGCCTTATACATTCTGCCACAAAACAAGGTTAACCAATAAGATCATGTTTAACAAGCAACTGAAATCAAGAGACAGATTTTAGCAATTAACAAAAGTTAAAAGCTGGACCCATCAAAAGACATGTAAGAATCTCAAGAATTGCAACAAGATAAAATCAATGGGAAATATAAATGCTTGGAAGAATACTGGAACACAAGAGTGCAAGGTAGAATGCCTCAAAAATTCAACAACAAAACGGCATTCACCAAGAATCAAGATCAAATTTAACCAAGCAGTCAAAATTGAGAGACAAGAGTTAACCATGAAACAGGCAATAGAATTCAAGGATTAGGCCCACAAAAGAGATTTCAATAATGATAACCAGAACACGGATTCAAGAACAGATATAACCAGAATGTCAAGATCTAGCACCTCAAGTACTAGAATTAATTAACAGAACAAAGCAATGGCTGGGATCAAGATGCTTAGAAGATTCATGTCTTCTAATTAAAAGGGCAAACAAAAATCCAAGCAGCCAGATAAAAGAATCATTTCTCTTGCAACAAAATTTTAGGGCATCAGGTACTTCAAAGATTAACCCTTCACCTCATAGCTCATGGAGGCTAAGCAGATTTACAGTCAAGTCATCCTAGATATCTTAGAGTAAAGTCAAAGCTAAGACATCCAGAATACAGAATTTAACACTTGCAAGAGACAAGAATTTAAAATACCTCATATAGGTATCTTTTGATAATCGTCACCCCTCCTAAAGAGGTGTCCATATAAACAAAAACCAAGAATCAAGAAGATCAACAAGTATACCAAAACAAGAACTAGCAAAATATGCAAGATTTGAGCAAGAGCAGTATACAGAATTTGAACAAGACCAAGAGTCAGGACAAGAATGGTTTTCAAGGACAATTCAAAATAGATTCCAAGAACAATGCAAGAATTAATTTCAAACAAGTATCTAGATAATGAGGATTTCAATAATCATTATCCATTTCTGGATTTCAGTTTCAAGAACAAGTACAAAGCAATATCAAGAAAGATTCAAGATGATTCAAGAGTTTCAAGCAATTTTCAAGTATCAAGAATGTAGAGATTGGCAACAATAGAGAGTTTAAGTTTATGACAGCTTGCCAATCTTCACAAAAATATAGCAATTTCAATTGAATGAACACTGCTCTTGATTAACCAATATAGAAAAATGACCCACATGAAAAGACCACGAAGCTCCAAATGGAAAAAGTGAAACTTCACTATAAGACTTTCAGAAAGATAAGGAGCAACGGAATTACCAAGTAATCCAGCTCCTAAAACGCAGCTAGAAAACACACAACATTTGCTAAAATAGCCTAAATCTCTTACAAAGTTGAGGGTTGCCCACCTTCCACTGGTCATGTGACAAATAGAGCAAATTTCTCCACCAGCTATGCTGTAGAGACCAACAAGATCAATAACAAAAGATCTTTGCAACTCCCCAGATTTTACAATTGTGGCAAAAAAGCATACAAATATTCCATTCAAGTAACAAGTCTAAACAAGTGCAGACTATCAGAAAGACCAAGTTTCAAAACAAGGTCTTAAGATCATGGCGGACAAGATTAATTTCACGAATCTACACAAGGTATGAAGACAGGGAACAAGAACAATCAGATCACCATCTCATCGAAATAGATTAGAAAAATTCAAGCAACACGGATCAGAATCATCCCTTATATAACCCTATCACTCATCTCACCACAGTTCTAAAATCCACTGGCTAGCCAAGTCCAAAACAAATCCTAGGTATTCAATTAAACCTAGGTATTCAATTAAATCAAACTCTGATACCACTCAATCTGGAGGTGCTTAATTCAAACCTAAGCTCTTAATTTAAACATAAGCTCTGATACCACTAAATCTGTCACGCCCCAAAACCCGAATTCGAGGCGCGACAAACGCCGTGCACTCGTGAGAAAGTCCCACAAATGCACAAGGCTCGGAACTTATCATACTGTACTCTGATACCACCAAAATCTGAAGATCAAATCTTTAAAATTTTCTCTCATATCATAAAATCTCCAATACACTCTAGTTTACAAAATCACGATTTATTTCTAAAATCTATGTCAATCTCAAAATGGCTAGCCTTCTAACTCGTCACTTCCCGTGGTTTCCCCATCCTCGGTTTTGGTTCCTGAAATGGTGGACAAGGAAAAACTATGAGATAAACTCAGTAAGTAAATATGGAGTGCCCCTTATCAAACTTATAGCATGCCAACATGTGCAATCACGAAAAACGGGTACAGTACGGGAACGAAATAGATGTCTCCTCTATAGGTCACGGCCAGCATCTAACACCCACTGGCAGGCGCACTATTTGCTAGTGTATAATCCCCACAAGCAGGGTCACTGTTTACTGGTGTATAACCCCCACAAGCAGGGTCACTGTTTGCTGGTGTATAATCCCCACAAGCAGGGTCACTGTTTGCTGGTGTATAATCCCCACAAGCAGGGTCACTCAACGAACCGGTTCTATCAATAACATGTTGACATGTGCTAGCATTTATAACCTCCCCCACTAGCAGGGTCACGAATAACATATTGACATGTGCCGACATGTGCTAGCGTTTATAACCTCCCCCACTAGCAGGGTCACGAATAACATATCGACATGTGCCGACATGTGCTAGCGTTTATAACCTCCCCCACTAGCAGGGTCACTAATAACATGACCACATCGGAGACAAAACAGGCAGAAGTTAATAGGAAAATCACAATTCACAATCACTTGCTGAGCATCAGGACAGTCACTTAAATTTCAAGTAGGCATGCTCAATTTAATGAAAAGCATAAAACATTTCACTTCAAATCAGTCATACTTGTGTAAAACGGGTTTCATCCCGCCACCACTTCAAAAACAAATCAAAACATGCTTTTAAAACAGTACGGGCATTACCATAAATTTACTTACCTCACTCCGCAAAACCGAGCACTCAATTCACGTACTAAACTAATAGAACGATCGGGAACCTAATCAAAATACCTCAGAATTAATACCAGACTATCACAAATTCAAACTGAAATCATCATTAAGATCACTCTTAATCCCGATGCTATTCCTATCAATCTCCACATGATCAGATATCTCCAAATTCGTTCTTATATCACAAACTAATCACTTAAATCCCCGTTAATTGTTGGCCCTCGGGGTGTGAACAGTACCCATGAACAGTGCCTTGAACAGTAACCACGACGTGAACAGTAACTCTAACTTCCACAAATTGGCCAAAACATTAACTAATTCACGGGATTTTCTCCAAAAATCACATAGCAGTCAATTAACACTCAATCACATAAATCCCACTTGAATTAGTGCTTAAATCTCATCCTAAAGCCAC